CCGCAACCCCCCCCCCCCCCCAAAAATGACATGTTGCAAATAACTCGAAAGGGAGCACTATGGGAGCACATTCACTGTTGACAGTGGTAAGATAGAAAATATTTTGACTTCTCTGTGACATGACTCATGAAAGTTATGAACAAACAAAGAAAAAAGTATGTTAACTGAAATCAAAACTAGATTCCTCCCCTCACTCTTGTCTAGGATTCCTGTCCAGCCTGATTTCTCTCTTCAGTTCCCATTATTTCCTGCAGAAGCTAATGCTTTAGTATTGCATTTCACTGGCAAAGTTCTGATACACAGAATAGTGTTTTCACTTCCCCTCCTTCTGTTTAAACCACAGTAAAACTCTGTATTTGACACTCAAATATTTATACCCTACCCTTAGGCCTCTCTCCTTTTCTTCCATATCCTTAATTGGAATCTATCAGAGTCCTATGTATTTAAATTCATCCAGTCTTTTCTCAAAGGCTCCTCCTCCCTCCCAGGCCTTGATTGCATTCGTTGCTAACTACTAAACTCCTCCCATTTTGTCTGCATCTCTACAATGACAAACTACCCTGAAATTATGCATTCCTTGAAGCCTAGGTCATATGGAGGAATAGTCAGAAGGTACCCAGCCTCAGAGCTGCCTCCCTGAGAAACGGGAGTCATGTATCTTTTTCTTTACCATATATAGTGTCATTACAAACTTGTATTTAATTTAGGGTCATGTTTTCTGAGCTAAGTATCATTTTGCTATCCAAAATAAGAATTTCCAGTTCCTCTCTGCTCAGTGACGCTTGTATCTCTTAATTGCTCCATTTCTCTGTCTTTTATTAAAACCCTTTTCCAGATGAGTGATAGGGATGGAAGGTTAAGTAAGTACTTCCTCTTCAGAAACCCAGTTTAAGAGCCTTGCCCAGGAATTAATTAAATAGGAACAGTGCAAGAGGCTGTAAAACCCACTAGAGGCCACTGTGGTCTTGCTGGTTTCTGCAGATTTATGCAAAGGAAACAAGCCCAAACCAATAATCTCCTCGTACTTCAGTGCCTTTTGACACCACTCCCAAATCTCCCTACACTCTGCATCCCTCAGCAGAAATGAGGAATAGAAAAGGACACACTGGGTGGAAAAGGAGCAGGCAAGGAAGACTGAGTGCAGGGGTGTGGATGGATCACGAGGGGTACATCGAACTGCAGATATCAGTGGGAATCTGGAGCACAAAATGCTCTCAGTAAGAGCTCATGCATGTTTGCCTGCACATCTCCTCACACATCTACCACTCTCCAGAGGGAGTGAATAGCCCAACAGGGCCCTGCTTCTGGTCTGCCTCTTCCCAATTCCTCTACTTTTAAAAGGGGACGCTTTCTCCTAAACTGCTCAGCCAAGCTGATTTGACCTTCAGAAAATTTCCGTCAAAAAAATCAAGACCTGCTTTAATGAAGACTGTGTTTTAGTATTCCAAGCAGATATGCCCATCAACCCAAAATATACCTCCCACCTAAAAAACTGAAGGTACATTAGACTGCCACAATTTCCCCCTTCATATTGTTGCTACACAATCTATGTGCTCCAACAGTACCGAAGCTCGGCACTCCAAAATACTCTCTGCACTAGTCTGTCTACTGTCATGTTATCATTTTCTGAATTATCTATTCCTAATCTGACACATTACTAGTTTATGATTATGCTTTAAAACAAATTTCCTTAGTGTGTTCTGCTCTGTATCTACTTCATCTGGAAGTTCATATTAGGCTCCTGAAATACTTCTGTTCTTCTTCATACATGTCAAGGATCGGTGGCTTCATAACCGACCTGCAAGTCTGGAATTAGAACAGGGTATCCTGGGAGGTATTAGCCTACACTGCTATTTCAGGCTTGGAGAGGCAAACATGAGCTCACTTGTATCAAGAACTAGAACTGGCTGACCTTGAGAATAAAAAGCAGAAGCAAATGGTCTTTTCGTTCTCCCTTCAAATCTGAAAACTTCCTTATTCTGAAAGCAAACTACAGGTGAGCATAAAGTTCTACTTCCACAGTCTTGCAGCACTGGAATGGCTTTCAGCTTCAAACTCATAATTTGCCTCACACAGTACTATAATTTACTTGCAGCTGCAGCTTTAATGAACAGTGATGTACAAATATATTTCAAATGAATTTGCTAAAAAAAAAAAAAAAAAAAAAAAGGGGGGGGGGGAAATCAAAAAGGTGCATGCAATATCCAAAAATAGACATCTCTAAAGGAAGTCTGCTTAAGAGCTTTCAACAGTGTGAAAAAAGCAATTAACACATACTTTCCCCTTCTTCTGCTAGCTTATTGTAGACATTTAGAATGAGGAATTTAAAGTGGCATGTGTTTGAACAATCAAAATGTCATTGAAAATCAAATGAGCTTATTCTGTGACTCATTCTGGATTTTAAAAGTCACAGTAACCTGGGCAAGGAGCCTTTTTTTTTTTTTTCCTTCCACTTCTTAGTCTGGTTTTATGAGAAGCAGCTGAGTTGACATTCCCTATGCTGCTCATGTTAATCCTTTTAACTATACATTTTCATGCTCACAGTTTTGACAGAAGGCTTTAAAAATACTTGAGATCTGCTAGCTTTATATTGTTAAAACCTTTACTTTTTAACTGACTTGCTTGTGAATATCAGTAACTTGCATTGTCATGGATACACAGAAATGGGGGAGGGATCAAACTATCACAAATCTGCATGCAGGAATAACTTCAAATACGAACTTTTTTCTTTTCTACAAATGAGTATCATGATTCTATGAAAGCAGCTGGCACCACATACTCAGTGTGCTTTTCAGTTCAATATATTTGCTTTGTATGAAATGCTTCTACAGGTCACAGTCTGCCGGTTCACTTCACTGTACTTGAGACTACATGAGACTTTCTTCTGCTTACAGGACAGCTCTTCTTTCCATTTAAAAAAGACATCTTTTATAAAGATTCAAGGTGACACATAAAATAATCTATCCTTTAAGACAGCAAGACTTTTCCCTTCTCCCAGTACTGACATATCCAATGTGATATTTTTCTATCATTTTCTCTCCTTTTGAAAGCTACTTTTACTTAAGACAAGATGAACCTTTAAATAGAAAGAACACAATAAAGGAAAAAAAATTCTGCTTGGTGGAAATAACATTAATAAGTTTTTCTAGCTATGCACCATTAGCAAATTTTAACAATGTTTCTACTACTGCACCTCTCAACTTGACCTGCACAGAGAAAGGGAAAACACCTGCTGAGTGATCATATTCAGACATGTTCAAAAGTGCTAAAAGCAAAAATTCCACTGAAAAAAAAAAATCAATAAAGAAGCTTCCTTAGTTAATAAAGGAACATTTAGTTATGCAAAAGACATGGAAAAATAACAGCAGAATCCCCAAAGAACAGAAAATGATTATAGCATTTTGTATTTTTTTTCCCTCTCTCCTTTTTTTTTTTTTTAAATTATATCTGGAAAAGTTTTTGGCCATTACCAAAAAATCCGTAAATTAAATTAAAAAATATAGGTTACATTAGTCATGTATCACCTAGTCATATGTCACCTAGCATTATATTACCATATGATATATTAGCTGCAAGTAATAAATTACAATAAACTGTAAATAAAATCTCACTCAATAATACTACATAATATTTATTATACATCATATAATTTATAACCATATAATACTTTTTTGACTATTCTCTACTAGTTGGATCATTCTTGCCCTCCTCTACCCTGCACATGGCTTGCCTTTGGAAATGCATATTTGCAGAGTAGGATACAAGAAGCTAGCTAATAGCTTCTAGCTATTAATTTGTACTGAATAATGACAGAAAATCACTGAAAATTTCATATGTTCTTTATAAAGTATAAGGGATATCTTGATTCCTAGTATTTTATTTTAAACATTAATTAAGCAAAGGATGTGCCACAGAATCACAAGGAATCAAGAAAACTGAAGCTAATTTAGCAAATAATTTCATATGCATAATGCTCATTTTGCCATTTGAAAAAACAGCTTTTTCATGCAAAAGCAGAAAATAGGAAAGATGCTTGTTAGACTATGGCTTCAAAATATTTTCATGAGTATGATGATATATGAAAACCAAAGAAGTATCAAAAATAATTATATATACAAAATTGAATTACATAACACATCAGTAAAAATTAAAGAGGTCTTTACACATAGTAGTTTTTGATGAATGTTTAACTGCAGGTCAAAAGCTTTGAAATGTTTGGATTAGCTGACATAATATCAACTTTTCCAACATGCTTCCATAGCCATTTTACTATACCCTTTGTTTTGACATCTCCTCCACACTACTTATTTGGTCCAAATCTCTTGGTTTCCATGAGCTGCTCTAAGAAGTCCATGGAAGAGAAACGAACTCCCTAAATCCAGAGAGGTTTCACCCTACATGGACAGATGACCACTGCAGCTCTGAAAATACTACTGAGTTCTAAATTCTACTTTCTAAGTGTGCTTCATATTGGCTTTGCTGGATGAGCATCTGAGAACCTCCCCATCTGGTTCTGAATGCCTTGGACTTCTCATTACTTTGGAAGCCTCATTAAAAATCACACAGACTTGTGTAGATCTCTGTATGGAAACCTTTGAGATTCTTGTTGACATTCAGAAAAAAAAAGAGATATCGCTGTGATGGCCTGGAAAGGAAAGACCAAATAGGAAGGACCAAATAGAAGTGTTACTTTCTCTGAAACTTTTGCCATGCTTTCTTGTCAGAAACTATAGCAATGTTTCCATTTCAGATTTCCTAATGTCCTAACTATCCTCGTCTACAGTTAACCTTAATGGACTCTGAGCACAGCAGAAGTCACTCAAGAGTTTTTTTCTCTCCCTTCTGCCATGATCTGTTTTCAGTATGTTCACCAGTTAAACAAGATTAGAAAATCTCTCACTGCATATAGAAACTCTCCAGGCTAACCAGTATAAAGGACAACAGAAAAATGATCTTTTCCAACACCACAGTCTTGAGAACAAACTAAGTTTCCTAACTGAACCAAGTTTTCCCACTGAAAAACAATTTTACAACATACACTACAGTACATTTACTAGCATGCTACAAAGTATTAGCAGAAACATCTTAATTAACCTATTAATAATATTAAATACTATTATTTAGTAGTATTATACTAAAAAAGACAAAAGAATCTGCTACTATATATTTCATTTTCCTTTCACTTGTCCAATAACGAAATTTAGTAATTCATGGATTTGTGCAATTATATGATTGAAAGGAATTCTACATTATTTGGTTACTTATATAAAGGAGTTTAGTGTACTTTAGGAGCCACAGGGTAGGAAAGGTAAAGGAAGGGTAATCCAGTATCAAAAACATCTAGAAGTTTAAATCTTCTAGATTTAAAGAAAAGTGGGGCATTCAACCAGAATTCTGTGATAGAAAGCAAGCTTGATGGAGTTGTTTTTCCACGGCAAAATAAGATACCCTTCAATCTAAAACTGCAACCTACAGTCCTTATTTTGTCCAACTTTTTTTTGTTGTTTTCCTAAGTAGAAAAAATATGCTTTTGTAAAATATTGAAAGGATGAAATTTTACACAGTATGGATACTCCAGCATACCTCCTGAATGGCTGTCATGACAACATGTTGAACTGATTCTTCCATCATCATTATGGTCTGGATGTACTCTGGAAAAAAAAAAAAAAAGTAATCTTGAATGTTACTTTTGAAACCTGAGAAAAATCAGCAGTTGCATTTTTCCTATAAGCTGAGCAGATGTTGCAGATGACACGAAAATGCATAACCATCACTCAGGTCCCTGTTCAACACCTCAAAAACATCAGACAGTCTATTCAGACATAGATCCAGGCTCAATGGAACTTTCAACAGTCAAAAACGCAGGTGTATAAAATGGCAATCACTTCCCCCCCCCTGCATCTCACACTTTAATTAACTTTTCAAATAACTACCCATTCTCCAAATACTTTTTTCCCAAAACCATATCCAAACAATTCTGGTCATGCAAACACATAATCAAAGGACGGGATGCCTTTTTCATGAATTTAACATTTACACACTACCCTTCTGCAGCACTCTCATCTTAAGGCCTTTTAAATAGGTCCTGACATTGTTTACTTCCTATTTCCTGCATCTCTACTCGTTAAAATGACAAATTCTGATGCTTAGATCAAGTCAAGGAATTACTGATTTACTCTGTACCACATAGCTTCCAATTGAATATTATGATTCATTTTTATATGTCAAACGTATTCTTTTGTGGTTTGTCCAAAAGGAATATGTTGGGAATTAAACATCTCAAAATAATTAACCAAACCATGTAAAGTTACACTAACAGTACATAGAGTTTTGATTATTTACATGATTCTACCATACACCTTTTAATATGCAGACTGAAAAAGTGTGGAAGTACAAGAAAAGATGGACTTTTCAGTGAAGGATACCAATAGCCACCAAGAGGACGGCAAAATTTTTTTATACAAAACAGGACAGACAGGAGGCCTCTGTTAATATATTAGAGCTATTTCTGCAATTTAGGAAGAAAATCATTTCTATTCTAATTTGAAAGAAGGCTACGCTATCTCCTGCTTAAGGGCAAAATAGAAGCCACTTTTCTTACTGCCAAATAAAATTATTTAGATAGCTGAAAGAAAACGAAAGGGAGAAAGTAGCTATAAAAGCTAGAAGATTCCACTGCAGGAGAAAGACAAAAGGTCTGACACCCTTGCTGCCATTTCCAGACAGGAACCACAAACAAAGTACATCAAGGAAAGACAGACCTTTGATGTAACCTTGATGCGAACACAGTACTCATATCCTTTCATTTATCAATCTCTGTATTTTATAACTTCCTGTTACTATGTTTTCAGTCCTAAGCATTAAAAAATATATGTTTGCAGATGGTTACCCTAGCCAGGCCTAACCACATTCTCTATCATATCTGCAGACAGATTGAAAGGGTCCCTATTTGTGTCCCACATTGCCTGCAGGGTCATTTTGGATGCCCTGAAGGTATCCAAAGGTAAACACCTTAAGATGTTTAGTCTCCTGATGCCATCTAGAAAGGCCCAGTCACTTACATTCTTGAGCCTATCTTGTCAACCTCCTACAGAAGTTTTGCAAACTGATGTCCCAGATGGCAAGAGACATTCCTTCAGACCAACTCCTAGTGATTCTGAGGGATCTCATAGGCAGTATGATACTGAAATGCATTCCTGAACCCAAGATCAAACAAAAGGGAATTATACCTGTAGATTCTTACACACACAGAGCTACCTCACACAAAAAATGTTGAAGGCTGGGCCCCAGAGTTTGACTCTGTAGCGCTCCCTTTCAGCTCTGCCACCAAATAACAAAATTGCATATGTTGAAATCACAACCAGTTCAGACTGGTTCATAGTTAATGTTGTAACAAAACATCAGTTACTATCTGTAAAACAACAAAACATCATGGCCTATGAAAACAAACTTGTCTCTGACAGCAACTTGAGAAACACCATTTTTCCCTAGGAAATTTACACAATTTATATTTTCATTCAGTGCCTTGGGAGCAAAACATGCTTTCAAATTTTATTACCTTGCTTCTGTTCACAGTTCACAGCACATCCCAGAATGAGCTGCAGCATTCTCCCAAGCTCTGCAGAATCAGCATGCTCTCCAATGAGGTTAACATCAGGAAGGAGGAAGTCATTAATCTGTTGCCCTAAAATCTGTATAAAGACCCAGTACATGCTTATCTCTATCACTGCACATACATTTACAAATTCAAAAAATACAAAGATGATTCAGATTCAACAGGAAGAACACGCTTTTAATAAAATTTTCAATCCATCTTGAAAAAAAAATTCATAACAGCATCTTATATGCAGATTTCCATCCATAACACTTGACACAACTAATATTTGAGGAAAATGTAAAACATGACTATCTCAAATAAAAATAGGCCATTATTTTCAAACTTAGTGGGAATTACTTTTTTATTCCAGATAAGAGAAATCAGCATAGGTAGGCTCAAAAGGAATGTCACCCATATTTGGATAACTAGTTTACATAGAGCATTACATGACCATGTCTACTGCCTGAAAACATTTTAGATAGCACAGAATATTGCATTCAAGGCTCACATTTTGTTCCATGAGAAAGTATCAAGAAATTAAAACATTTCACTTATGGAAAGGTGGCTAGCAAAGGGATGAGATATATAAGACTGCAAAGTATCTGGCCATTTGGCCTCACACTTTCATAGGAGTCAAGGAATTCAGCAAGTCCCAGAGTTAAGAAAAGTTAATTCTGTAGAAAATAATTTGAGATACTAGCATAATACATAATTAAAAAGAATACATGCAAACAAAAGACTGAAAAGGGAGAAAAAAGAAAAACATGTGACTTACAATTAATGTAATCTGTTTTTATAATTAAGAAGCATTAATGATTGTCAGTAGAAGGAATTAAACACTTTAGCTATATTGTTTTCAAGTAGCTTTCAGGGGGCTGAAAATAAGAATATGAAATGTGGAATTAAACACATTTTTGACAGATTAATTGCAGATAAAAAGGAACTGTCAACTCTTTAGCAGGGTGCAATAAAGAAACAACGACAATGGAAGGAATCAGTCATTTGTTTGCTGAATGCTCTTTCAAATTTTAATAAGCAAGAAAAACAGAAAAGAGAGAAAAAGTAATTATAAAGAGATGTACATGAAGAATAGGTGGAAATAAAACTGCTAAAACTGCTAGAAGTTTTTTGGAGTTGAGTCTTGTCGAATCACTGTTTCCTTTTTTTTGTTTTGTTTTCTTCTTTAGTAAGTTCCTCAAAGAATGAATACCAACACTACTACTAAGATCTTTGTACAGTTTATAGAATTCAGAATCAATCTTCCAAGAATATTTTCATTTTTCAGCCATTCTACTGAAAAATAAGAGTCCTGTGAATGCATCAAATACAATGGAAAATTTTACCTTTGCATGTAGATTACAAAAATGCAACCAAACATAATATTCCAACCTGCCAACCATGCCAACCTGCTATGTTTATAAGTGGGTGGGAACTTTCAGAGAAGGTTAACCCCTGAAAACAGGCTGAGAGACACTCTGCACATCCAACACTTGAAAAAAGAAGTCCTAATAAATCTGTAGGATACATTCACATTAGACAGGTTAAAAAAGTCAACAAAAAGAATACCAAATATATTTTAATTAAAACTGTTCTTACCTCATGGTTGTAATCCAGTATCCCTTTTAAAATTTTCTTCAGGTTGCTTACCTATGGGAAAGGAAGAGGATGGAAACACAGTAAATGCAGGGAATGCATCACAGAAACATGATAATGAAGTAGGCAATCCAGGAACAATCACACAGAAATGCAATTACATCTATTTACACTCCAAGGAGACCTCTTGCTTTAGAAGGTTATGTTAGAATCATGGAAGTTATGCAACTGTCCCTTGTGATCAGACTTGCAGATTGGATCACAAATCTATATGAATTGGCAGAAACCATTTAAGTCTACGGAAAAAAACCAGCATATACTTTGTGGGGGCATGGAGATCTGAAAGATCATTTTTTTCCTCTTTTCTTTTCCTGAAACATCCTCATGACTTACTTTCTAGAGATACGCATTTCCACTTCCAAACCACACCAACAACTCCTTTTTCCCCAGTCTATGCAAACTTTTTTTTTTTTTTTAAAAAAAAAGTTCGCATTAAGTATTCATCCCAAACCCTTCATTTTTGTTGGCTGCTCTGAATGCTTGCCAACTAAATGTCTATATCACCACGGACAGATCCCACAATTCTCTGCAAGTCTTTAGTGCCATACAAAGAGATTCTGTTTCACCTGCATAACCAAAAGCATAAGTTAGAATCCATAGAGTATGAGGCACTCATGCAGCATTTCTCTAGTACTGAGGGCTTCTGCTTTCCCTTCTGGCAAAAAAACCCAAATCCATTTAAATCAAGTCCCAAATGAAGAATGCATGAAAAATCTTTGAAAAAAACACAATGGTTCTCATAGGTGATGTCTAGAATAAACAAATCTTTGATGAAAGTGTCTGTTAACAGATTCTGTTAATTTATTAATTAATGTTGAGATATTTAAGCAAGATATTCAGGCAATGGAAGCGGTGTACTGTCTCATATAATAGGAAGTTTAAAAAAAGAGATTCTATAAAGATTGAACAGAAATGAGGAGGATGTCTAGAGAAATGACTAATTACATCCCAATTCATTCATTTTTGTCATAGGCCTAGATAGCTCAAGAATAAGGAATCATGATTCACAAGCTGCCTAATGCAGACCACAGTAGCCACAGTTAAGAACTTTGGAATTATAGTAGGGGAGTAAAAAATCAAATCAAAATTCTCAATTCATAGCTGCATTTAAAACTGCAGCATCTTTCATGTTCTTGTTCACATTCTGAAACTGCTGCGAGATATTCTGCCCACTATCTATCTTCCAAAAGGCCTACTACAAAAAAAAAAAAAAAAAGCCAAGATGCATGGACAGACTAAATATTCCAACACAGTCTACAGTTAGAGAAAACAAGGTGATAAAGCTAAATTTGATTCCTTTCCTCAGAGGAGCTCAAGAATGGGACAGACTACACAACTCAAAAGATGTAGCCCTGAACTCCTAAGTGATAATGATGCAATTACATTATTCCTACTAACTCCCTCTCTTTTGGAAACCAGTAGTCAAAACTGACTGCTTATAAACAATATAAAGTCTTTCTTGGGAAAATTTCACAGTTGTCTTCATAATCACTGAACTTGAAATCATAGAGAAAAAAAAAATTCAACCTGGATATTAAAAATGATATATCAAACACTCTGGCAACCTACAGTGAAAGCTGGAGATGATATGTGATAATGTGAAAATAAAAATTACTGTACTTTTCATATTGCTAAAAAGAACTAGTTAATGTTCAGACGTATCCCTTCTCCTCCCATCAAATGTGTTTTCCTTCTGGTATAGAAATTACACCATACTTCCAATCGTATGCCAAAGGCAATCACCACCATCTCTCAAGGGTTGTGCATAATAAGAAATAAAGTCTGCAACAAATTTAAGAATATTAAGAAAATCATTTCATTTTGATCAGATCAAGAGTACTGTACTGATTGGAGCATAATTTTCAAACTTGATTCGATAAAACCTTCCATTTTATAATTTACCTGTATCTGCTGCAGAAAATGCCACAGAAACCCATGGGCCAAGCTGCAGAATTTAAGTCCAGTTTAGCGATGAGAACATTGTGAAGAACCTTGAACTTGAAAATAATCCCAAAAATGAGAGAAACGAATTGGAAAACACTAGTCTAAGAAAACCATTTTATTTTTTTATCTCTTATCAAAAAGGCTCATTTTTCTCCAAATGATTTCCATATAGCTTAAAGCTGAGATGCTAGAATAAAAAAAGAACAAAACAAAAAAAAAAGTTGATCATAGTCTCTCATAAAAACTAATAGATAGAACTGTACTCTCTGAAAAGGAAAATGGCAAGTGCATCTGTAGAATCTTCTCTTTGAGGCTCTATATTACCAGTACCAGGACAACTTTTAAAGGTTAACTGTACCATCTTTGTATCAGATACACACTCAGTTATGAAGCTACAGCAAGTTCTTCTTGGCTTAATATATAGGCTGGCTTAAATTTATCAATGATCTTCAGTGTTGATGGGAGGGAAAGGGAGTCCCTCTTTTGTTTTTCATTTGTCTGCAATAAATACACTTAAATGGACCTACTGCCACTGGCAGTAAATCATCATGGGGAAACCACCACAAATGTTTTCTACTTTGAGATTCAACTCAGGAGCACCATTAACATTTGACAGATCAGAGCATAAATTCTTACAAAGAAATCTTTAAGCAGAAATGTTTTAAAAAGAACAACAGCTGTAACAACAGAAAAACACAGGAAAGTGCTAAAGACAACTGGTTATTTCTAGAACACTAATTCAAAGCAAGTAACTGCTATTCTTTTTTTCTCTTTTTTCTTAAGGACATGGGGAAAGTGAACTACAAGAGTTAAGAAAGAGTATTAAATAATTCAGTGAAAGAACACAGCAAAAGTAACTTGCAAGATGGATTATGACTATAAAATGTTGTATTTTTCTTTGGATATAAGTTGATGATCAGACGAGATACCTATTTAATTACATCTGCAACATAACTTCTTCCTTTCCACATGAAACAACCATACTCCCTCTTTCTATCCCTTTTACATTCATTCATTCCTTACACCTGCTTGGAAAAGAAACAAGGAACTCTGCAAAAAAAACAGAGAGCACTATCAAAGCGGTCACAACTCAGAACAGTTTGTTTTCTTTTTATCCCCCCTCATCTCTGAGATTTCTATTCTTATTTAGCTACAAGTCACTGATTCCAAATGGAGGCTCTATAAAGGTATTCTGTCCAGATATTTCTTTTCAGGAATATATTTGAGTACCAAAGAGAAAAAAGCCTGACAAAATGGAAAACAGAAATGATACTAAATATCAACAAAAAGGGAGCCAAGGTTATCTATGTCCGTGTTTACTCACTATGGACAGAGTGCCTCTAAGAAGAGGCACTCTGGAAGCTGATTCCAAATATTGCATTTATCCTTACAATATGTATGACCGAAGCACTTTTTCTGCTGAAGACTCTGCGTAATGTAAGTTGACTTTTCCATGCAGGTCCTGAATGTCTGAATGGGAACCCTAATGTTCTAACCTCCTGCTAAACAGTAAGTTTTCTGTGTAATTAGGCATAGGCCTATTTTCTTTCAAAAATTCATAATTAACTGCCTCATAAGGCTGTTGCAAGGGCACAGACTGGAAGAACTCTTAACTCTTCAATTGCAGACAATTAAGGTTGGTATTCCTCCTGGCTGCATTTCACAACAGTGGAGTATGTGTGCATGCACAGTTCCAATCTTGTACGTTAGGTTTCTGCTCTGGACTACATTCTGCAGGAATTCGTTCTCTCTGGTTATAAATGAGTCTACAACAACCTCATTTATAGCTTTGGAAAATACCCCCCCCCCCAAATATCTTCTACAAAAGAATCCCAAGAATTTGCTTGCATCTTTGAACAAACAGAGACATCTTCCTGAGTTAAATTAAAATCAAAACAAAACAAAAAAAATGTTAAGAAGTGCATCTAAGATGAGTTAGTGTTCACAGATTGAACTTATATTGAGCCTCACAGTGACTTAGGCATTGCAGGTGTACCTGAACAGAGCTAAATATATTAGTTAATTATCTAATTATCCTCTTGGCAGAAATGAATACTGGTATGCCTTACAGTCTCTGCTTCTTTCTTGTAGAATTTATAAGAAAAACATGTTCATGCAACAGGCTCCTATCCTTATCAGAAAGAAAAAGGAAAAGAAGAAAACATTCTAAAAAAAGCTTAGAAGGTTGTTCATGACCAAGTGTTCTGCCTTCATATTTGTCTATAAGACAAGGCTAACACTGGATACAAAAAATGGCTACCAAGCACCTGACCACAGTAAATCCGGTTGGGCTATGAGAACTAAATGCAAATAAAATGAGCTGGAAACATGGGGAGCTAAAGCTAACTCTTAAAAAAAAAAATCACATTTGTTTACTTGGATCACAGTACTCAGCAGTCACTAATTTAATTATTTCATTTTTCAGTATTGGATGAAACAGACAAATCCATTTTTGTAAAAGAAAAGGCACTCAACAAACTTTCACAGCTACAGAAAATCTAACAGGATCATTTGTTTGAATGTACTATTCAACAATGGAAGAAATACAGCTTGCTTGTATTAAAAAAAGGTCGAATGTATTTTAAAATGATGCTTCAGATGGAATGTCCAGAAGAAAGAGTCAGAAATCAAACAGAACAATGTATTTCTTTCTTCTCCCAGACTAGGTACAGACACACTGCACAAAGTGGAATAAGAAGCATCAGAATTTTTTCCCCACCCTTTGAGCAGTCTATGACATGTTCTTTAATCGACAAAAAAGGTGATAAATCAGTGACTAACATGTGTGTATCAGATCATTAACTGTGTATATTTCTATTCTGCTATTCTATACTGCTATTTCTGTGTCTCCGACACCGGAATGTTCTTTTTTATTGATTAGGGAACTTCATCCCTGCAAAATATTGGCAGCAGGACTTCATGTGCTGTTTTCCAGTTTCAGTGAAGGTTATTTTGTCTTCAGAATATGTCAACATGAAGTAATGGTGCACCTGCAATCTAAACTCTGAATATGTTCAAGTGTTCAGCTGTGCATCAAATAAATAAGAGATATGTGTTTGCTTTTGCAGATTTTTCTTTAAATGATATAAAATTTTAAGTAATCACTGAGGAGGGCTTTTTGTCTTCCCATTAAAAAAAGAAAAAAAATGCTAGACATGCTCACGTTAGCTATGCCTCTAATATTTTAACGCCAAAGCAATAACAAAATTTTTCTCTAATAAACACATTAGGCCAAAGAGATTTGATCAACCTTCACATGGAAAGTGGTAGCTAGTTTAATGATCCTCACTTTGCAAGTCCCCAGACTTCTAACATTTTCTCTTTCTCTATTCTACACATTGCTAGGTCTTCAAAGTCAGAAAGGTTATCCTAAAATCAAGAATAGAACAGCATCCATGTGAATGCCTAAGTTTAAACTGATATATCAAACAGAAAATACTTTGATAAGACAGCATCCTTGCAGTTATCAACAGATTGTAATATTCCTACCAGCCAAACTACAAAGATCTAAAGAGCTGTATATAAAGAATAATAATAGGTGGCAATGTATAAAATTAATGGTTATACAACAAGAACAAAAATTACACTTTTTTTTTTGACTTGTAGTATCCTTTATGAAAAGGGAACATGATTTAAAAAGGCTGGACTATATGCTTCTTTTAAACAGGAAGAAAAGTAATCAGTATTTAGGTTCCTTTTTACATAGAAATCTGAAAACCAAGAAGGAATTGCATCAGCAAAAAACTGAAATCTGAGCTGATGTTTTCCCAGACTTCAATCACTTGAGGAGTTTACTGGATTGCTATGTATTTTTTTTTTAATCATACCTGTTCAGCTTTAGTATTTGCTAAACTGGTGAGTGATAAATTTCCCTCCTCAGGCTCCATAGGAGAATTACAAATAGTTGCTCCCTGTTTTCAGTCAACTAAAATACTGTTATAATAGACAGTCCTCAAACTGCGCTCCAAATTTAAGAGACAAGACTTTTAAGATTCCTTATAAAACATTCAGGGGAAAATCCTCAGGTGCTCATCTGTAACTTTACATTCTTCTAAAATTTACTTCAAACTAGACTGTTTTATAAGCAGAACTAGCATGTCTTTTATTGACCAGTCTCTCAATATATCCTCCTCAACATCCCCATGCTTTTGCTGGCAATTCTGCTAAACAATAAATGCTAAAACACTCTACATTTGTGGAAAACTGGCCAGGCAAAAGTGACCACAACGATAAGTGAGCAAGCCAAAACATATATGAGAGCATGTTCTGTCCTTTCCTCAGGTGACATTTATGTGTGTGGACCCTCTGCTCAGTTGGTAATGTTGATCAGAGTACAGAATTTGGAGTATTTCATAGTTCTATCCCTTTCTCAAATGTTCAGAAGCACTTTGGAGGGCTAGAACAAACTGGGTTTATGGGAAGCATGAACTAATGGATGAATAATCCTAGCTTTGTTCCCTCCAAGAAACTGTGGTAGAAATGGCAATTTAGGAAGGCTCATATATCTTCATTTTCTCATTAAATCAGAAACCTGACTAACATCTGTATGCTGAAACTGTGTTCCTTAGGTTTTATGAATCAACAGCTTTTGCACCAGCATAATTCTACTGTCTTGAAGGTTTACACAGAAAGTACTAGAATATCAAGTTCTACAAATGACCTAGCAAACAAACTGTGGTCAGAAAACATCCTGAGTACAAACTACATAGAGTCACACCACCACTTCCTCTACCAAAGCTCAGTAGTTTTGCAGAACTGACAAAACAAAAAGAAACAACATTTTGCCTTTTTATGTAAACAAATTTCTTTGCCATTCCTATGTAGCTATTTCTCAGAGCTCATTCACCTTTTTTGAAAAACTACTTTGACACTTTGCAGTCAAAAGAACTGACAACTTTACACTCCACTTTGTTGTTCAAATGTTGACTTGAGCATACAGCTCTTTAATGCTTATTTTTCTTTTAAATAGTTGAAACCAGTTGTCAAATTCAACACTCGTATGTTTTTCTTCATTAAACTGTGCAGGATTGTAACAATATACTAAATAAGTGCAATTGAGATTGTTTTAATTTCAAGATTAATAAAAAGCAAGGTCTTGACAGAGAAATACACTAAACACAATAATTTAAGCACAGTATTGTACTGAGAACCAAAATACAGATTTGCAGACAAGCAAAACAAGCCAAGTACCTTTAGTCTCCAATTATCTCCTACTTCTGTTTTGATCCTGTTTAACCAGTTTTCGTCAAAGTAAACTGGATCTCTGAAAAACAAAACCATAATAGAAAATAAGTTTTAGAAGTTTTTTTCAAAAACTGTTAAAGACATTTTGGTGATAAATATTTAGACTGGCTGACACAACAAATAACTATAATATTACTTACCTGTTATTATGCACTTTTCTCACTCATTACACTCTGTTCATACAGCTCACTTTCAGCTGTATTCCATGGGCAGCTAACACTTTCAAAGAAGCTACAAAACCTGCAATATCCTTGCCAGTTTCTTCCCTCCATAATGTTGTGCTTTCTCTAAATTATCAAGTAATAGCGGAGACTAAAGTCTCCCAATACCATCTTGTTTGCAATAGTTAAAAGTATTGCAGAAAATACTGCTTTCTGCCTATTATTGATTCTTACCTGCTAGGCATGGACTGAAAATAGTGCTTTTCTAAAAAGGAAGCTTGAGGGTGAACAGTAACTATCCTCATAAAGTAGGAAAAAAGTAGCACTAAAGTTAAAAGTTTATCACCAAGAACACACTTCACTATTACTTCATCTACCAAATACCACATTTTTTTTTCGAAGTTCTTCTTCTGGCAATCCATTTTTTTTTCTTTTTTTGTAATTGCCTCCCACAAAAGTTGTTCTACCTTCTGTAGCAATCAAAACAAATAAAAATATGCTACACAAATATTAGTAGTTATTTCCGTAAATTTTATCCCTTCTCTCCTCATAACCACATTCCCCAAGCTGCTTCCTAATGAGACTCCTTCCAAGACTCTTGCCATCAAGATCAAAAGTTTCTAAAAAGGTAGCACTTCATAGTGCTGAGTAAAGTCAAATTTGCCCTCTACCATACAGGAGTTTGACAATGTTATGGTGAAAAAACAAACAAACAAAAAGCTATTTTTAAGGCAATATCTCAACCTAAGGAAAGTCTAGCATTTCAGATGAAAACTAAAGCTAATGTAGCTAGAAAACAATAAAAAAAAGCTTTATTTTTATTTTTTGTAAGCATGAAGGTCCTTAACAGTCACTGTGATACTTCAGATTGGAGTTTCACAGAAAGCTTTCTAATTTCTCAATGTCATGACTGGATTTGCCACAAAGTACTATGAGATTTACTGTTGTATCCTCTAGATACAGCTGAACCAAACTCTTTATTTAGCGGAAGTCAACAAGAGATCCTTTGTCAAAAGTCCAAAAATGAAACCATGAATTCATCTGAAGATTCAAACAATAACCATATGAAATACACTGTTAATCAGCAATCACATCAGTACTTGTATTAAGGCACTTGCCTTTGCAGACACTCTTTGTATCTGATGCTACTTCTCCAGTATTGTATTTTATCCCATTTTTCTTCACAAAATGTCAATTTTTCAAAAAGTCCAGGCCGTATTACAGTGCAAAAGAGAGAGATCATAAACAGTAAAATTTCCCAGCTGATATATTCCAGTGTTATTTTTACACATCCTATACAGACTCCAGTGAAGATTAAGGCATGTTTCTTTTCCTCTGACATGGCATACACAAACATATAGCTGGAAGAACAGTGCCAATTACTAGTTGCTCCCATTCAGAAACAGTGCAGTTGTAGCACAGATGACAGAATCTCGAAGTATAAAACAACAAATGTAAAATCTTATGCAGAGTTTCATCCGGGTTTGAAAGAGACTTCCTCCAAATAGCTTTGAAATGGCCTCTCTGTCCTCAGCAGTGGGAGGATTTTTGAGAATAAGAATTTTTGAGAATGAGAATTTTGATTCCAATACTTATATGTTCTACTAGAAATGAAGTAAGCTGATTTGGGGCCTTTTTATGAAACAAACCTTCCTCTTTGGAAAAGCTCTTACTTTGATTAATTTTGACTTATCACAACTCATTCAGCTGGAAATTAACAAAACACCAGCAGTTGAAACCTGAATTGTTTAGGTTTGAATTCCAGGCTCAAAATGATTTTCACTGCTTAAAGACTGCAGCACCATTAATAGGACAATTCTCCACCATTTTCTCTGTCAATAACCAGTCTGAAAAACAGCATTGGCAAGCATAAAGAAATGCCCATAAGCAGAAGTATACTTGGATGAATTGGCAGGCTAACCCTGCATGCCCCATTTTCAAACAGGGCATCAGCCGAGTTAAACTACAAGGTTTAGGGTTCAACTCCAACCCAATGCCATCAGGAGATCTGTATGTCAATAGTAAATAAAAGCATCTCAACTTTTTTTTAATAGACACGCCTGTACCAGCAAGTTGCCTTCACTTCCTCAACAGAAGCCTTAGACTACCTATATCTCTTGTCAAAAATGTATTTTGGGAAGATTCCTGGGAATTAAATCTAAGCTAAGTGTGGTAGTCCTCTTCCATGGATGCCATTTGTTTTTTCAAGTATAAAAAAATCTCATAGAAGCATCCAAGTACCTTATCAGCAATCCATTCAGTCATTAACCTATAGCAGAGGTCAGAAAGGTACCAGATCTCTTTTCTGCACCTCAAAACAGAGTACAGTCTTGTTATTATTAGCTATTGTTATGCAGATTACATTATTTATTACTAGAAGCATCCAAAGAAAAATATTTCTGCCAACAATATCAGAAAAAACAAATTGGGTGTCAATACCAAGAGAATGCAGAATGATTGCCCCTTCCTGATCTATCTGTAAAGTCATCTCAATATCATTCCTAAAGCACTGTTTTATTTTCAGCTTTGTCCTTAAAAATTGCTTCGAGGTTTAGACCAGCAGAATTAATGTCAATTGCAATGACTTACCCGATATATTATGCTAATGGAACAAATAATGAGAAATCTTCTTTTTTGTTTTCTATCAGAATTCATGAAACTATTTTGTAAAAGGGCTTTCCAGATGCTGCTTCCAAAACTAGTCATTGCTACAAACATGTCTCCCTAAGCTTAATTTCTGGGGATCGTGACTCAAATATATTCTGAGTTCACGAACTCCCTTAGTCCATGTCATTAACAAAGATGCTATCACTTCTACAATGGTTGAAAAAGCATCGCCTAAGCACATATGAGTCCGGGTGTCACTGACAACTGAGCAGCTGTGATTATAAAACACCCCCCAGTTAATTTTAAAGAAGTGCTGCACTACACAAGGCCAGCAAAAACTTAGATGAAAGTATCATCATTACCACGACATGACGTGTTTGAACCAAGCATTTGAACTGAAGTTTCTCTTATTAGCACTGAGTCTAAATCCAAAATTGGATTATCTCTTGTGCTGGATTAATTTCAGGATTTCTAAAGGCATTTACATACCAGTTCACTCCTGCTTAGTCTCTAAACAGGCCTGCAAGTAGCTTGCACTGTTCTTCAGAGCACGAGGTACTAAATACTGCTGTCAATGGTTGTCACTGCATGTGATGTTCTCAGCAGCAGTCCCTTACACCATTCTCACCTACCTTTGTATGCAAAATTTCCTTTATTTAAGCAATCATCTCTGTCAACAGACAGAAATACATTTCTGAAGAAAACCAGCCCACTAAGCATGCAGCATAACTCATGATTATTACTCATTTCAACAGTTACACAGTAAATTGTTTTAAGTGTTTAACAAAAAAGAATCTCCCCTGCAGAGGCATATAAAAGCAGAGCTTTTTATTCTTTTTAAATCAAAATATACACAGTATGCTGTTCTGTGTAACACTGCAACTGTATATTTCATTAATTGCATATGCAGATGACATGAAAATATATACCATCTCTTACCGTCTACCAAAATAATAAAAGAAAAAAGGCACCTGGACATAGAAAAACGTGCAGTAGGAAACTGGTAAATACAATTCTTCTTTTTCCAAAGAAAGTGGAGACTAAAAGATAGTAAGAATATTAAGTTCTGACTTCTCAATTTGTATTTTCAAAAGAAATTCTATCCTTAGTCTGTTAGAAATATGTCTAGATCATTGGATCAGCCCAACATTTTCAGATTTTCATCTGTCCTCTACCTGCTTCTGTTTGTGCATTTTCTTATACACAGCAAACTCGATACTTTTTTGCATTCGCCATGGATACATTAACCTCGAAAAAAAAAAAATGAAAGGGGAGGCAATTTATTATTGTAGAAGTACTGACACACACAGAGTCACCAGAATTCTTCCCTAAACAATCATTATGGAATTCACACTATTAGCTCAAAGAACACACATTGCTGTAGAACCTTAAAATAGGGCTAATTGACTTGAAGGATCCTCAAAAACTTCAGAGAACACACTTCAGAGAGATAGTAACTTGGAACTATCAAGTTTCAATGGATTAAGAAGAGTAAAGGAATAAAAAGACTAACAGCACTTAAGCAAATTTGTTTCTCCAGTCCAGACCCTAAATTTGTCCTTCAAAGATTAACCTGTGGAGAGTTTCATATCAAAATCACATTCCTTCGCGTATTCAGTGAAGATAACTGCCACAAAACACAAAGTGTTTTTGTCCTTAGGCTAAGATTTATACCCCTAACTGCAGTGACATAGTACTTATAGGTCTTTTACTTAAATTCACTGTATAACTCTGAGTCTATAATTTCTAGCACCTACTTGTGTTGATGCTCCTGTAAAATCTTTCTTCAACCTAGTTGTCTTTCTTGGGGCAGAGAGGGAAGCAGTGCTGTTAGCATGGAGAGGAAAAAAAAAAAAAAAAAAAAGACTGTCCTGAACTTGCTTCATTTGCTTGAACATTCCCTGGCTCTCAAGTATTCCCTTTTTCTTTCTGTGGCACTTGTTTGAATTGAGGGAACCAAGAAAGTCCTGATCAGTTTTCTAATCAACTATTTAAACATGGCCACTACGTTTGCCTTGTGTGCCTATCTTTCACATCTAGAGACACACAGAACGCTTGGCAACTGTTTTCTACCCTTGATATTCATTTCAAAAATCCTTTGGAGTCATATTCCATGACAAAAATATTTTTCTTGAAAAATCATTTATCCCTTACCATTCCTGTTTTATAATTCAAGATCAGCTCACAGCTGCAATTCATTTGCTTCAGTTTTTCTCTATAGGATTATCACATACACTATTAAACTGGTGAACAAGGATCAGTATCTTCATCCATAAGCATGCAAAATTGTAAAATATTGCACAACTGCCAAGAATTAAAACAGTCAAAGACTAATTTTGTCAAGTTTGAATTACTACCTGGGGCATAGCAGAATGTCACACCATTTGGCTGATGTTTACATATGTCCTTGGTATACTGAAGAAGCCTAATATTCAATGTCAGCCTGTAAATTCCTAAAGGAAACATTTTAAGAATTTTGCAAGAGAAATGTAGTACTTGCACTTTACATCTCTTTCTACATCACCTCTTCTGTTAAAAACAGTATGTCCAAGTAGTTTTCCATTCTCGCTACTGAGGAAGGGAGAAGGGCAGTATTTAAAATCAGGTTAAAAAGGCAGTTAGAAAGACAACGGGGCTTTTGATATTTAAGCTTCATTTTGGTTTGTACTGATACATATTTCATTTAAGATCCAGACTGGATCAGTCTTTGAACTAGTCAGTCAAAGTTTTTAAGAAAAACAACAGATGAATTTATACAGCCATCAACTGCCAGCACATCATTAAGTCGAAAAGAACCTGTTCTCTCTGAAAGAACACAGAAACTCATGGCAAAGGGGTATCCAGGCTAAATGTGTCCCATTATACCTTCCCCCACTCCAGATCACCTGAAACAACATGCAAGATGATTATCCTAAAATCTTGACTTTCTACAAAGTCTACCGAATTCTCCAGCTATGTGGTAATAACTTTTTACACTTCAGCAGGCTAAAAAGGAAGAGGTATTTACAATCTTAAAAAAAAATGGAACCATATCCAACTTACACTGCATTTACCTTTAGACTTTTAACCCTGATGTTCATGCTTCAGAAAGCTTACCAGAAGACGATCCAAATGTTAGGTTGGAAAACCCATTTCTACTAGGGTATTTCTGTTTCTTCTTTTGGGCTCTAGCAACATACATTAAAATAGTAAAAAGACTGATTCAACCTCTCTGAAGCATCCAGGACAGCGAAAAAGGACTGAGTAATTCTTACAACTTATGTCTAAATTCTGCCAAGAGAAAAATAAGTGAGGAATCTTGTCCAAAGGACCCCATTTATTCCTTCAATAAAACAACTGTCTATTCTGAAGTTTCATAAAAGTTCATAAAATATGCTCTCATTACTAAACCACGAACTAATTTAAATTTCCCATATCTGATTTCCTTTCTTCCAGAGCAGAAAGAAACCCTGCAAGTGTTGTGGCCAGTGCAACGCTTAAATCTTCTTAGAAGCTTCAGGAAGTAAAGACTGTTCTCTACTTCAAGCCTTTGGAATTCTACTCTCCAAATTTTACCATGCAACATCTTAAAGAGTTCTCCAAAAATATTTCAAGGCATTTTCTTTTTCCCTTTTCCTCTTGTGAAATGGCAGCTTTCCACCAGAAGAAAGACTCCTGTTCCAACTGAAAATTTACAACTACAGGATAAACTGCCTAGAAGAGACAAGATTCACCTAAGTTGGGCTAAAGCACCTTTGCCATCAGGCCGGCCAACCTGTTGAGAAGAGCTTTAACCTAAGAATAATGTGTGATGGGGAAGATGACCAAATAACAGGCAACAAAGAGTTGGCCTACATTAGCAAGCAGAAGGTGTAGGGCGATGTGAATGGGAGGAACTTTAAAGAACAGGTGAGACCTGAAGTGAGATCACTGACAGGTCTGAGGTACTCAATGCTTTCTTCTCCTCTGTCTTTACAGGAAAGGCCAGCATTCAGCAATCTCAGGCCACAGAGACCAGGGGGAAAGCCCAGATCGACACTCAGTCTCATTGGAGAAAGCCTGTACAAAAGCACCTACCAATCCTACCTTCAAGAAAGCCAAGGAGGAGGATCCAGAGAACTACACACTAGTCAGTCTCACCTCTAACCTGTGGAAGCTGATTAAGTATGCATTAGATAAGCAGCTAATGCAGTGAACAGAAAACTGGGTGAACAACTATGCTCAAAGTGTGGTGATCAGTGGCATGAAGCGCAGCTAGCGGCCTGGCACCAGTGTCAGATCTCAGGAATATGCAGTACGGTCAATACTGCTTAATAGGTTCATTAATGACCCAGACGTTAGGATAGAATACACTATCAGTAAGTCTGCACACACTGCAAAACTGGGATTGATACACAAGATGGTTATACTGCCATTCAGAGGAACCTCAACAGGCTGGAGAAAAATGCAGGGAGGAACCATGTTTTTTTTTAGTGTTTTTTTAAATCATTAAGTTAAAAAAGGTAACTTGGGAAAGAATAGCACCATGTACCAGCAGAGTCAGAGGCCAGTCAGCTGGAAAACACCTTTGTAGGGAGTGCTGGCAGACATAAAGCTGACCATGTGCAAGCAACTTGCCTTTCCAGTAAGGAAGGCCAAAGACATCCTGGGCTGCATTGGGATTGGGGTGATTCTTCCCTCTCCTCAGCACTGAGGGGGCCACTTCTGGGTTCCTAAATACAAGACAGACTTGGACATATTGGAGCAGGTCCAACGAAGAGTCACAAAGGTGATTAAAGGACTGGGGCAACTCACACAAGGGAGTTGAGAGAGCTGGGACAGTTTGCCCTGGAGAAGAGGGTTTGAGGGGAGGTCTCATCTTTAAACTTTATTGTGTATTATTATATCTAGTGTGCATAAATATCTGATGGGATGATGTAAAGAAGCCAGAGCCAGATTCTTCTCAGTAGCATCCCATGACACGACATGGGAAGATGGGAACAAACTGAAACGGAATAAAGTTCATTAAAAAAAAAAAAAAAAAAGTTTTCCACTGTTTTATTGAACACCAGCACAGATTGTCCAAGGAACCCATGCACTCTCCACCCCTTGAGGTACTTAAGTCCAATCTTGACATGGGCAAATTGCCCTAGCTGATCCTGCTTTGAGCATGGTGGTAGACTAGACGATATCCAGAGACGCCTTCTAGCTTAGGATACTCTGTCATTCTGTGATTTATTTTTTACCTATCTAGTCTTCATCTTCAGTAAACAGACAGAAATACTGTTGTATTCTGCAGTTAGATTAAAGTTACTATTCTCTTCAAGTTAAAAAGATTGAAGTGTATTTCTAGGGATATTTTTTAGGTCTGTAGGAACCAACATGCTAAACACTACTGTCCAAATGGGCTAAGTCAGCTGTCAAGCTGCTAAGAAAGGGTGATTTTTTTTTCCAATCGTGCCTCCACTAAAACATATAAATCTGGATACAGATCAACTGCATTTCAGATGCTTGCATCTATTCCTCAAAAAAAAAAACAAAGAACTTCAAAGCAATCGCTATCAAGGACAAAAAAAGCACATTAAAACATTTCATTCTCAAGTCAGGGTGTACACAAAAACATCCTAGAATAATGCATCCTAGACTAATATTATCCTGATAATTTTTAAGTTCAAAAGAACAAAATAATTACATAGCATGACAGCTATCTTTCTTTCCACAATGTTAAGAACATAATGTCCTTTCATTCCACTAAATTAACAGATCCATTCTGTTTATCACAGCAGTTTTGTTGCATGCAACTCTGCAATTGTTATATGTGGTATATTGATTTTAGTTTCAAGAACTGCCTGGGGTTAATACCTTACCCTCCACTGGCTCCAAGTATTTTAAAAACTTAAAATATTAGTCTTAAAGAAGAATCTAAAAATATATTTTTAAGGCTTTTGTTTAAAATAGTTGACTAAAAGTATGTAGAAAAAGCTATTAGCCACATGTTAGATTAAACTGCAGTCTGAACTGAGGAAAAGCCACAATTTTAAGGAATTCCATCCAAAGCAGAAATTAATGAACTTACATTCAAGCAAATCTATAGATAACAAATCCGTTTGTATTTTAAATGAAGTAAACCTGTTCTTACATTTTTTGAAGAACCTGGGCCATCACAACCCCGTTCGTTAAATCTTCCACGGTCTGGCATGGTGCCTCAACATTAAAGGTCTGGATCTGAGGGAGAAGAAAGAAAAGTTACCTTCCTTTATTGAAATGCCACCATTCTTTTTTCAGTCTTCCCCCCCCCCCCCCAAAAAAAAAAAGCACTACATGGTATACAAGATAGAATAAAAAGTACACATTAAGTAGAGTCCAAGTCAGGAAGTTGTAAATTTCAGATTTAACAGCAATTAAAGAAATGAACTGATAACATGGCTTAATAGCTTTATTTTTGCAAGCAAAAATACTGCAGGTTGTGGTACAAATGACAGAAGTATATTCCCCAAAAGGGCGTTCTTTTCAAAGTATTTTCTACTGCATGAACAAAATTTGTAAGACATTGGGTGTTCTTTTCTCCTGTTCAGGCATTTCTGGAATCCCCCTCTCTCAATGAAGGTACGTAAGAAACTTGGCTTTCATAAATAATCTCAAAATTTTCACATGCTCTGCATGACCGTGAGATTGCATATAGAACAGCAAACTTAATTCTGCTCTATGTTCTCCGATAGAGGAAGACAGGATAATGCTGTTAAGCCCTAGCAGCATTATTATTTCTCTAATTATTTTGGAGTGCTTAATTAATGCAGTGACACACATTAAAGTCCACAAAATGAGAAGTCTATAGTCTTCACATGGTGGTTAATATACAAAAATAACTGCTAGTATTCACAAGTATAAAAGCAGAAAGCCAAGAACTATACGACTGAACTGTTTGATATATGACTAAACATGTTTAGCTTATAATGAAACCTACTCTACAGATTGTGTACAACTGAGACAAACTTACAGTTAGTTTTCTGAGCATCCCATATAATACTTTCAAAAGAATTAGGCAAGAGCCAAGAATTATCAGTTATGCAAGAACAAGAATTATCTCTTACTCCAAATGTTCAATATATATCTTAAACTCTCTATGGCTTCTGCTCACCTACGCCATTTTCATGCCCAAAGCCTACAGATTATCTGAAACTCTCTCCTACTCTACCAGCAGCAAATGTAGAAATACATAGCACAAAACTTTTCTCCCTTCTTTTCCTTGATGTAAAACAGAGCCCTTCATTTCAGCACAGTCTTTTCTTACAGTCTGAGCATTTTCTCCGAATGACCATTTTAAAGGGATAACATTGAGTTTTGTGCAATACGTCTGATAATGCATCATTTGAAACAATCTGAGGAGCTCCCTCTCTGCTGTTATTCTTCTTCTAGGGAAGCCTTAGCTTCTTTGTACAAAGCACTATCTGTGCAGCCCCGGGACAAGAAAGCTTACAAGGCAACCTGCTGCTTCAGGCTACATTAACTTCCAATATATCAACCATCCTTTCTGCACATAATGTACAAGCACTTGCTCTTTGACAATACTTGAAATATTAACATAGGTCCGAGCTATTCCCCAAGAAACCTCTAGTTATGTATCTTGCAATACTAGGTAACTAAAAACAGCAGTGGGAAATCTTGTACATCCTGCCTTAAGACCATTCTCAAAAACCAGGAAAAATAATATCTAGATTCTCATAGTATCTTAAATTCTTCAAATAAGCAGTCTAGCAAAAGAACCACTTAAAATTAATCTTAGAGAACACTTAGATGAGTGTTCCACTTTTTTTCTTTACTCAGCAAGAAATAGTTTTATATTTAATTAGAAAAAAGAAAGCAGCATGGATATCCAAATATATATGGATATCCAAAGTACTGAAAGGACGAGCTCTCTCAGAGCATGTTCACTGAGCAAGCTGAATAACTATGGCACCCAGACAAAAAGCAAAAGTGATTTCGACACAATAGATCAAGTAGACTATCCTAAAGCTTCATCTGAACTATCCAGAGGAAGCAGCTCCTTATTCCTTCTCCAGAAAAATCAATGAAGTTTCACAGATTTCCTAGGTTCTTGTGGTAGGGGAAGAAAAAAACATGAAATCACAGGATATATAATCAAATTGCTGTTTTTTCAAAAGTGTGCTACAGCCTCTGAACTGCTGTGGAGCTATTGAAAGAATACAAACTATTCTGTGTCTGAATCCACAAAGTCCTGTTAAACACTAAACAACACTTTCTAATAAAAGTGTTTGCCATGAGATTGCACATGCTATGCGTGAAGTAGTTCGGGGTCCTAGAGGGATAAAATATTAATATTAAAGCATAAGCATGAGACTAAAACTTGCTTCCAGTATTCCACTAATCTATATTGTGGAATACTCAGTAGAGTATTTACTCACTAGAATTTCTACCACTCAATCTCCATCACAATAGCCAAAACAAAGAATGCACTTAAAAATACTATTAAGATCTTTTGAAAACAGATCAAATCAGATGCTATTTTCAAATAAGCAGTACTGACATTAAGGAGATCTTCACATATACTGTAGGCTTATCACACCTTGTCAAATTTGTTACCGTATCTTTACCCATTAAATCCTCATCTTTCACTAAATATAAAAATGTAGGAAGGAAATGTCAATACATTGAACAGAGGAAGGAAGATTGCTAAACCTATTTCCAAGACACAAGCAACAAGATGTCTATCTGCTACATTGTGACTAATTTTATCATCCTATTTCCCCAATACTTCACACATAACAAAAGAGTAGAACAGATGGTAAGGACCCGTGTGGCGCAGGAAGCCAGACTAAACTCTTTTACAGAAAGGCATGCAAGGTTGACAATGAGGACACTAATGCTTTCTATAGTTAGATGACACAGACTGGAAACAAAGATTGAAAACTAGTTATATGACTTGTTTCTTTTACACCTTTATTTTTTGTTAAAAATGCATTTGTTTGCATGGGTGAGGAATACACAGCATATACTTCCCATTAAGGTTGCGAATTCACGCAACATAATCTTTATTTAGTGCCTGCAGAAAGATATTGTATATTTTTCATATCAGATGCACAATGAAAGCAACACTTTCTGTTCTTTAAAAGATGTCTACACCGAATATGACAGCTCTGTAAGTGGATACCAAAGCTGAATCATAGAATCACAGAATGCTTAAGGTTGGAAGGGACCTCTAGAGATCATCTAGTCCAACCCCCCTGCACACGCAGGGTCACCTAGAGCACGTGGCACAGGACTGCGTCCAAGCGGGTTTGGAAGATGTCCAGAGAAGGAGACTCCCCAGCCTCTCTGGGCAGCCTGTTCCAGTGCTCTGTCACCCTCACTGTTAAAAAAA